AAACAAGAATGTCTTTAAATTTTTTAGCAAACAGAACATATTCTTCCTGATATAATATCAACACAAAATCTTTTTCATGAATTAATATCAAGTAAAGAATATTATCGTTCATGTGTACAAAATACATTTGATGACAATACATCAACATCCGATATGGATCATACAAATAATCAATCAATGTTAACATAAAATTTTCTTTTCGTTCTATTTTTTTTTCTTCTTCTTTATTGTTGTAATCCATAGATCAGATATATTTATAATAATAAATAAAAGAAAATGTATACATATGTCTGTTTCTTTTTCGCTATTTATTTCGTTTTTTTGTTTAAATTCTAGAAAAATTAATGTCTACTGATGATAAACGATATTTTCAACGTACATTACATTATTTTCCGAGTATTGAAAATGATGCATCACGTATTACATGGGCGCATGCTGTTAATAGTCAACAAAAACTTGAAGAAGCACTTAAAAGTAAATGTTTCAATATGAAATTTTTCAATAATGAAAAAAAAGTTTTATTTAATAGGTTCATTAATGTTTATTGAAGCTGATATTCTAATAGGTTCATCATCAAGTGATCCTATCATGGCTCATCCACCACATAAAGCAAGTGATTTAACATTTTCTGAATTTCTTAACGAAGTTAAATCAACAAGTAAAGGTTTGAAACTTGATTTTAAAGATATCAATGCATTACAACCATGTCTCAATGAATTAGAAGCACAAAAAGATGATGTTAGTCTCTTAAAGATTCATCCTATTTTGTTTAATTTACGTAGATTTTTTATCATAGATTAATGGTCCTATTATTCTCAATGCTGATATTGTTCGTGCAAATCCACAATGTGCACAACCTATTGATGCTCAACGTTTCTTAAGTGAAGGTCTTGCATTTGGTTTTCGTGTAATACCACAATTAATGATATCATTTTCACTTGGTTGGACAACAATTTATGATAAAACAACAAATTCATATACTTGGTCAAGTGTAATTGATATGTATCGAACAATCACACAAAATGATAATTATTCTTTATTTAATTTTGAAATAACATTTCCCGTTCGTCTTTCATTAGCATTTAAATCATTTGATCAACTTCATTGGCTTGCACAAGTAACTAAATCAGGTTTAACATTTTGGTCACCGATTGATGAAGTTGAAAATACACAAGAAAATTTAAAATGTTTGCTTCAATTTCGAACACATTTTAATCGTTCATTAATTTATTATGATTTACCAACACCATTTGATACTTTAATAAGTGAAAATTTTTATACTCAAAATGAAAGAGAAAATGAAAAAGATATATTTCCATCAATGAAAGATTATTGGCATACAATAACAGGTCAAGAAGATAATGTCTTGGTATCAGATTTTAGTGCTGTTCTATTAAAATCTAATGTTTTTTTACGTACAAAACAAACATTTGATTCAACAGTTGCTTGTACGTGGTCAGGCACAATTGATTTTCTTACTGATGCATCATCACAAACACAAGCTGTTCTATGTTATTTAGCTGAAACTGAACATATATCAAAAGCAGGTAAATATTTAAGAAAAACTCTTGTCTTTTTTGACTATTTTTAGTTTTCGAAAGGATACAACCGATCACGTTGAAATTTTTACCGTAGATACAGCACTTACAATGGAGGTGTGTGTATTGATAATCAAAAAGATAGGACATATTCGGGTCAAATGAAAGCTCTTACTGAGAAACTAACAGGGTTAAAATATTAGCTGCCCATGGCTTGTCTAGAGGGAGATACGTAACTTTTAAATCTAGGTATAAAAATGAATCAGGAAAGGTTTTCTCCACTATTATAAGGATAAAACATAGTGTTGTTTGGGTCGATTCTAGGGTTTGTAGGGACCCTCTTTCATATGGCCCGAACAACACCATGTTCTGTCCATATAATAGTAGAGTGAATTTTTTCTGTGGCTCATGGAAGCAGCTTTTTCTGTCAACCACGAGAAAAATTCATTTCGCTATTATAAGGACAAAACATAGTGTTATTCGGGGCAATTATGGGGTTTGTAGGGTCCCTCTTTCATATGGCCCGAACAACATCATGTTTTGTCCTTATAATAGCGAAGTGACTTTTTCTCGTGGTTGACAGAAAAAGCTGTTTCCATGAGCCACAGAAAAAGTTCACTCTACTATTATACGGACAGAACATGGTGTTGTTCGGGCCATATGAAAGAGAGTCCCTACAAACCCTAGAATCGGCCCGAACAACACAATGTTTTATCCTTATAATAGTGGAGAAAACCTTTCCTGATTCATTTTTATACCTAGATTTAAAAGTTACGTATCTCCCTCTAGACAAGCCATGGGCAGCTAATATTTTAACCCTGTTAGTTTCTCGGTGAGAGTTTTCATTTGACCCGAATATGTCCTATCTTTTTGATTATCAATACACACACCTCCATTGTTAGAATAAGGAGAGACATGTTCGAATAAAAAAATTTCACAGGAGATTCTACGGAAAAACTGGTTTCCCGTCAGGCCGTATCATGATATATTGCAACCTCTCTCTGTAGCTTGTCGTCATGACTGAGTGACTACGTTGTTCGGTATGTATCCATAGGTACTGTGTTCAAACCTTGCAACTACTAGCCACGGAATGATCCTGAACAAGTCACTAACGGGTGTTTATCTTGGATCATCACTCCGATAGCATATTAACAAAGTTGTGAAATATACTTGCACTCTTGGCTAGTGTGTGATTAGTTACTATATATAGGGAACGTAAATGATTGAGTGCAAGAACTCTGCATCAGGCTGACCTTTTGTCCATAGCTAGAACTAGTATTAGTTGTACGAAAGACATCGGACTAATGAATCTATCGCTAGGCAGAACCTCATACCGCAAGGTAGCCTCTTTCTTTCTTTCCTCTAGCTTTGTGCGATCGGACTAATTTTTTTTGTCAGAGATACTTGAAAATATTCTCTAGAAGTAGAATTCACCGCTTTTCATTTCTGACATTCACGTTCAGATTTATAGGACTCTAAAAATCAAATCTCTAATATTAGCTCCAAACCTTTGCATATTTTGTCATGAAAAAAGAAGACAGTAGAATTTCTGAAAATGCTTGAAACTATCTGTGACACTTAGTCTTAAGTATCTTCAAAAATATTTTCAACTTAATCGGACGAAATTTGATGGGGATCGTAATGTACTAGGATGTAGCTCCATGAAAAACTAGAGTTTCCACACAACAACCTCAGTGAAATATTTTCCTCGAACATGTGTCTGTTTATTTTAAGTACTCTATTTGTAGTAAATATTTCAACTTGATTAGTTACACCCTTGTTGAGAATCAGAAGTGATCAGAAAAGATTGAGGATATTCTTAATTGATTTCAGAAAAGTTTTTTTTTTCTATTTGTAAAATATTTAAATAGGAATGACAATAACAATTTCAAAAACAGGTTCTATTGAAGTTGTTTATGAAAATACTCAAGGTTCATCACAAGTTGATGAAAATTTTGTTTTTCCAAGTTATGCATATGCATTTCGAATTCGAGATTCAATATCAACAATTCATATTGAAATATCATCACTTGATATTGAAAATTTATCATTAACATCATCAACATCATCATCTGTTTCAACTTCTGTTCAATTAACTGTTTTTCTTAATACAAATCATCGTCGTATAGCATCATCAGATGACAATAAACATTTTCATGCTGCTGTTATGGGACAAAATATCGAACAAATGACATCCACTGATAATAATCCAACTGGTGGAATTGTATTTTCTCGTTTACGTCTTACACAAGAATTGATATCTACTAATTAAATGTACATATTTCTCTAGTCATCAATATCTTCCTTTTCTTTTCCATTATTAAAAGACGTATTCTAACAGTATGTTTACAATTTTTGGTAACGAATGTGTTGATAGCTCAGCTATTAATATTGTGCACTCTATTTGCTTAATAATTCTTAAACATGAATAAAAACGATTTATCTTCGAGCAACAAACTAATTTTTTCAAGTCTCATGATTAAATATATCGAGATGTTCAATCATGCCATATTTCTATTTATTTACAATTTATTAAACTGATACAAGTAGATAATAATATGAAAAACAAAATCAATTAATCTGTACATGACATTCTCTATTTAGTGCCTGTATATTATATAAATATTTTACATTAAAATCCATAAACAAAATCTACAAAAAAAAAGATTTCTCTATTGTTATTTCGTTTTCTTTAATCAATAATAGCAGTTTTTTTCTTCTCAGCTTTCTTACGTAATGGTTCATGATGATCAGTAAAATAATAATAATTTCCTTCAGTTGCTTTATTACCTAAACAAAATCTTAAATTTAAACGCCAACCACCTTGAGGCCATGATAAACCATGTAAAGTTAATGTATCTAATTTAGTCGATACATTTTCGTAAGGTTCAAGTACAGTTGGTTCAACATCACGTGCTTGACCATGACCTGGAAAGAAGTGATTGCCTGCATCTGTAATGACAAAGACACTTTCTTCCCAAAGAATTTTTTTTGAATGACTATCACGTAATAATGCAGGTATTTCAACTGGTCGATTGCTATTATTTGTTACTGTTAGGTTGAAAACACCTAGAATAAGATGGTCAAATTTTCACAAAAAACAAACCATGAAGATATTTATTTACGTACCATCACCATCCGGATTTTGATATTCTTTTGTATGAGTTGCTTGAACAGGTTCACATGTAAGTGAAATATCATCAGTTGTAATAAGTAATGGTCGACCACTTTTGACACATTTCTCATGACTAGCAAACCGTTGATTATCATACCATTTGACATGTTGTGCATGAGAATGCTGCCAAGGACTTTCATAGTGTCCATTCGATTGTTTACTCCATCCTAATGGAATTTTCGATGATTTAATTAATTGTTCAATTATATTATTATCTAATTCAACTAATGTATTTATATGTTGTCCATCACTAGAACATGCTAAACAAGTCAAACCAGCTGTTGGTTCTTTTACTTGTTCTTGTTGTCTTTGATCTGACATTGTCTCTGAACCATTAGGATTTTGAATAATCTGTTGAGGAACATAGTCTGCACCACGTTGATGATAACTGAACTCTGTTGTTGAGATAGAACCACGTAAAGGTTGAATATTTTCAAATCGTAATCTATAATGATTTATTGGTGGCATTGATCGTGTGGACATACCCGGAATAACTTGAGTTATAGTACCAATAAATGCAATAGGCGTTTTAGCCAAAAATTCAAGTGCATGTTCTTTGCCGAATACCATAATTATGATTGGTAAAAACGTGAATGTTGTTCTACAACAAAAATAACATTTGAAGGCGGGTATATATATATATATGTAACCTTCACAACAAGGTTTATGAATCAGAAGAAAAAAACAAACTTTTTTTTGCAAAGCAGTGTATATATTTATCTATTTTTTCTTTTCTAAGGTCTCAAGACGTTTAGTAGAGCAGTATAAATGGCACTTTTTGTTCTGTTGTATTTATAGAAAGCGATGATTGATGCAGGAAAAGTATGAGTCATCCTGTTACAGTTCTTTTGGAGGCGTAATGCAAGTAAGAAATGAAAGAATAATGCTCTCTTTTCATTTTTCCATATAGATGTAGGTGTTAGAAATTCAGTATTTTCAAGATAAGACCATTATATCACGATTACGTCTTATAATTCATATATACTTTGTAATCATATACTAGGTAATATATTGCATATATTTTTTGACATTACTCATCAATAGAATGTTCTTTTTTTCATTGCTTTAGTGTCTAATCTATGTAAAAAGTTTGTTGTTTTTCTGCTGAATCATAATATAATCATTTCTGTTTTGATAGGGATCAAGTTAAAGATTCATGAAATTTACTTTGTATTTGATATAAATAGAATAAAAGCACGTTACTGGATTAAAGATAAATATTTTTTTGATAGTTTTAAACTAAAAAATCACAGATAATGATTTTCTACTGAATAAAAAAATGTTTTGAAATATAATGTACGGCATAACGAATTATGATACTTTTATAAATGAATGTAATCACATGAAAAACATTTGAATCTCTTTATCTCTAAATGTAAAGTAAGACTATGAATTTGATCTAATATTACTTGTTTGTTTAGACAGCAGTAATTTGTTAGGAACTAGATGATGTATTTTTGTACGCGTCACTTACCCTGAAAACAATCACTTCGTCATGTAAACACAGAGAAACTATTAGTTTTCGTTACCTGATTGAGTAAAGACTTGAATTACAAAATTCTTATTCGTTTAGTTCAAACTCGACCTTAAGGCAGTTCAGTTTTGATGAATTCTATACGAAACTTTTTGAAATACTATGGTAAATAATATATTGAAATAAAGACAAGAAAATGATTTAAAAAGGAAATTATGTAGGAGTTTTCATAATTCATTGTCAATGACCGTATTTTCTTCATTCATTCTGCACAAAGAAGAGCGAGTGAATTTCATGCAATGACGATTTTGTGTATGTATCCAAAAAGATAACAAAAGTTATTAGTGTCAGGTTTCTATGCATGGTAAAAAACAAATAAGCCTGTATCGATTGGATAAGTGTAGAATACGGAGAAATTTTGGCTAGTATATGAGGGATTTTTTATTTGGTACAACGACCACGTAAGCTTCAGATTGCCAAATGTAGCGGTACGATAATCTCTGCTAGATGTGGAATTACGCTTGTCGATCGAATTTGTTGATGAAAACTACTTTTTTTTGCCGCAATGTGAGTCTGAGTCTGAGTGAAAGGAAGACATACATCCACATCTTTATTCACACTGATATACGCTATCTCACTGTCAGATGCTATGTTTTTCATAATAATACTACAAAATGATGGCTGAATCATTGGACTGTTTAGCTCTCTTTTTGCAACAGAAGCTACGATATTGCATATAGTCGGAAAGCGACAATTTTAAAGATGACAAACATTCATTAAAAGGACATAGATATTGATCGATATCAGTAACAATTTGCTAACGAAAATAAAAGTTGATGGTATGACATTGATTAACAGGAGATCGATCGGAGTACTGAAAAAAAAATTGATTGATTATTTAGAAAAAAAAAAGATTAAAAAGGCGAAGTAAACCACTAAAAGATTCCGATTAAGAGATACCCAAGTTGATCTGTCGTAAGTTTTCAATATTATATTTTTGAGTACTTACGTATGTTTTCTACTGATGTGCAAACTTAATCAGAATTACAGCAGCTTGACACATAGAAATTGATATGAAGTCATAATTAGCGAAACGCAAAAAAAATGGCAATACTTCATTCATAAGAATTCAATGATAAGAAAACCTCAACAGAACAATGTCAAGAACTTAGTATTAAGTCATAAATGTCCTTCTTTGGCCGACGACATCCTTGGAAAATAGTACCATCCGATGCAGAATTGGATTCTGCATCCTACACAACCAACTAAAGAGTCAGTACAGCTTTCTGAGTGAATATCAGAAAGGAATACTTAAATATGCTGCTAACTTTCCTCATGTCTATAAGCATGATAAGATATTTCTGCCTATTGATGGTATCATCATCAAAAAAGGAAAATCCATTTGATCAGCCTTTCGAACACTTCACATCAAAGATTTAGTTTTGGATATTGCATGACAATTTTAATAGTTGTATGTGCATTTTCTTCACTTCACTATCTGGCATTGTGTTTATGAACGAAACTATTCAAATGAAAAGCAGCTCCATCGGAGAGAAAGACGTTCTCTCTGTTCTTATTGTCTCTTAACAGTGGTAATTAAGTTTTATACATTTTCACGCGATCTTGAAAGTCATCTTCGTCGAGCTGTTCAACGAATTGTACCTTGTATACCATTAATAAGAGATATTCCGTCATAATTTGACAGGTAGTTGTTCGTGGTATTGACCAAGCTTATGCAATAGACCGAATACTTGATCGCAGCTAATTTCTACGAGTATTATTAGCTTCATTGATTTTTGTTCCGTAATTACTGTACGTCTTTCAGAATGTTTTCTGTTTTTGATAGTATCGATTTCACAAAATTGACTTGTAGTTTTCGTTTCACAACAGTCGTTGATTCGAATTCGACAATAAGTAAAACTCTTTGAATTCTGACTTCTGTAGATACAGATATCATATATGAAATATTTTGACTAAAACTTTAATGAATATAAAATCAAATTGTAAAATAAATTGAACATTTGATTCGTTATCAATCAAAAGAAAAAAATTAATTATAATTTTTTTTTCAATCGAAATCTTTTAGATACAAAAGAAATCATGATCGAAGTGAAATCAATAGAGATTTTTCCTAAAGTTTCTGATGCTATGATCTATTCGTATAATTATATCATGAATGAATATTTCCATTAATATTTTCTGCTAACTGTATCTAAATTTATTGGAAATTGAAAATCACAGTCTACTACTTAGAAAAAAATGAAGTTCTTTTATTGATTGGTTGTGTGTTTCATAGCCGATTTTTCATTGAGAAAAGCTTCCATATATTGATTAACTTCATCTGGTACATCTTGTTGTACCCAATGCGATGCATTTCGAATTTTCTTTAATCGAACATCAGAACAATAGTTTTGACTAGCATCAGCAAGTTCTTCACCTAGTGCTCCATCTTGACAACCCCATATAATTAATACTGGTACAGTTACTTGTACTTGCAAATCGTCTCTCTGATGTCTGAATATAGCACGATAGTAATTTATTGCTGATTTTGGTGTTCCTATATTAATATGATAATCGAAAATCAATATGTGATAACTCATATAGATACCTTTTTGAGAAAATGTATACGTAAAAACTTCAAGATCATCTGCTGTCATATTATGTTTATTAATCAAACTCATTGGTTTTGTATAAAAAGCTTTTTTTAAAATTGCGAAATCGTCCGATGCCAATAATAATTCAGGAATAAATGGTACTTGATAAAAGAACATATACCTGAAATTGAAAACAATAACTAAATATAAAATAAGAATTTTTCAAAATGAAGAAACCATGATCGACGAATTTGTTTTAATGATAAATTATTGCGGTAAGCAGCCGGATGTGGAACATTCATTATAATTAATTTGTCAATTAAATTAGGATATCTGTGAAATAAAAGATAAAAATTCAGAAAGAAAAATTAATAATGCACATACAGCATTGCACAAGCCCATGACACTATCGCTCCCCAGTCATGACCGACCAAAACACAAGATTTATAACCTAAAAATATCAAAAACGAAACAAACCAATATCAAGAATACTAAATTTTTCAATCTCACCAAGTTGTTCAATAATATCAGCAATATCACGAACTAATGTTTCAACTTTATAATCTCCAATATTAGACGGTTTTGAACTAAGACCATATCCACGTTGATCGATAGCGACAACTCTTTAAAACAAATATTTAATGATCGTTTTTATATTAATTATCAAATAATTATACCGATAATTTTTTGAGAAATATTTTATTTGATATCTCCAAGTATACCAACATTCAGGAAAACCATGAACAAATAACATTAATGGATGATCTGATGAACCTTTTGAAACATAATGAAGAGTGACATTAGATGACTAGAATATTTTGTTTTTAAATCAATTTAAATACTTATAATATCATAAAAAATAAAATTACTTTTAATTTAATCATTCCATGTTCTCCATAAACAGGATCAGTTGCTTGTGGTGGTGGTGAGGGTCGGTCCACTCGTCTAAAAAATTTTTTCGGACCGATTCGAAGAAAAAGAAGAACAGTTAAGATAGTGCCAAATGTACCATAAATACATGCCAATATTATTTGACCGATTAACATCAATATCTTAACACTGATTGGTATCGACGCCATTGATGTAAAATCTAAAAGAGGAATTAAATTGAGAATAAAAACTAAAAGTTATAATGATTGTTGTTCTTCTTATCTCGATCTTGTGTATTATCTTGATAATATTGATATAATAAAAATCTCTATCTCTCGTGGTTAGGTTAGATAAAACAACTAAAATAACTGTTACCTTTCGTAGGTCAGATGATATATTACAAATATATAACGGAATCTTCATGCGAACTTCTATTGGTATAGCAAAAACCCATATATATATCATTCATTTATCACCGAAAGAAAAAAAGAGTTGAATTTTATTTTTAACGACATCTTTCGGTAACTATCGACAATTGTATTTGGTCAAGTTGTGGTTCGTTGATAATAGAAAGAAAAATGAATGTTGAAAACAGAGATACTACAGACCATACTTATTGACTACTATTTTAGATTAATTGATCGTTTTCTTATTAAAATTAAAATAAATGCGGCGTAGTCGACCACGTTTCCCACCTTGGCGTCAAAATCGTCCACAATATCAACAATCATATCGGTATAGAACAATTTTATTATTCAAAAATAAATATTTTGTTTTTTTTTTCTTATAGACCTCAATTTTCTCAATATCAACAACAGGGTCAATCAAGTGATGTCTTTGATTTTCTCAATGTATGTTTAATGAAAATAAAACATGAAAAAAAAATTGATTCATTTCTTTTTTTTTCATTTCTTAGTTACCGGAATCATTCCCATCAATGAAACAACTCATTGATGATCCAATCTTAACTCCAGTAAGTTGATTCGTGTTTTTTGTTTTCTACTAATCTATAAAAATTTCATTTATTTAGCTTATTATGGAACGTAATCAACAATTAACACCATCATCAGCTGATAATTTTGCATTAATGAATTTTGTTACAAGTGTTCGACAAAAACTTGATGCACTTGTTCTTTCACCAAGTTCATTTACTGCTTGCGTATGAAAAAAAATTATCATAAACTATTTCTCCTATAGAAAATATCTTTTTTTTTCAGCAAGTAAGTGAAGTACGTGATGTTGGTTC